TTCATTATGTTCACATTGATTAATTTTGTCAGATTCTAATTGATGTGAGATCTTTTCCAATTCAATGACACGATTTATTTTTTCTTTAGCCGTTTTATGGGTTTGTTTTAACTGTTTAATAAGATTTTCAACAGTTTCATCATCTATACTATCGTAACAATCAAGAACAGAATTATATTTAATATCATCTAATTCATTTTGCATTAAAGTACTTTGTGCCCTAAGAGAATATATATTGTTTGTAATATCTTTAAGATTAGCATGCTCCGCATTTCGACGTTGTTTGGCATCTCGAATCTTAGATTTTAAACTTTTGACCCGTTGTCGATATTGAATTTCAGTTTCTTTAGCTTTTTGAAGTTCTGCATTTAATGTTTCAAGATCAATAGATGATGTGGAATTAAATTCACGCTTTAAATTCGCTTCTGCAAGTAAGGCTTCTAATTGTCTTATACGTGTAGTGGAATTCGTCTTTGATGAGTGCACCATTTGCAATTCAGTTTCTAGAGATTGTATAATAGAATTTAGGTTCACAATGTTATAATCTTGATTCATAAATTCTTGTTCATCCGACACCACTAACTTTGTCAATGCTTTTAATTCGTTTTCTAATCCATTGAGCAGCTTGATGCGCTTTTCATCTATGGTCTTCGTTTCTTTAAGTTGCGTTCGAACAACCCCAAGTTTTTCCTCCATAAGTACGATAGTTTCATTGTTTACATCTGGTTCAACTTTCATTTCAAGAATTTTTGATTCAAAATTTGTTAAAGTAGATTCAAGTGCTCTGATAGCATCTTTTTGATTAATTTCTCTTTCATCAAGTATGTTCACTAACTCTTTAGCTCGTTGCGCGTTCTGATCGCATTCTTTCTCAACACTTTCTATTTGTGAGTCTAAGCTAATTACCATTTCATTTTGTGCCATTATCTCTAGTTTTGCATTAACCAGCTCATTTCTCACATTTGCAACTTTTTTATCACTTGCGACTCCATTATCCTCGAATGATTCAACTTCACCTTCCAAAATTTTTATTCGTTTTAATGACTCTTCATATTGTTTATGAGTGGTGTTCAATAAGTTTGTAAGTTCTTCGTATTTCTCAGATGATGAATTGGTATCGTTTTTAGCAATTTCTAATTCCCGTCTTAATCTTTTCATTTCTTCTTCTAAAGATATAGCAAGTCTCTTTTGAAGGTCAGATCCACCTTTCATTGTTGATAATTCTTTAATAGCGACCTCTTTTATTTCTTTCATTTTGTTTAATTGTAATTGTAATTGATCAATTGTGGATTTCTGTTCAATTTCTAATTCTTTTAAGAATTTCACCTCCTCTTTTACCATTTCAAAAATTTTCGCTTCTTTTTGAACAGTTGCGAATTTAGCTTCCAAATCATTAACTTTTTTTTGGAGTTCTGCTTCAGAAGCTTTGGACTCGGATATTTGATTTCTTAAGGATAATATATCTGGATTTTCATCTTCTGCCAATTCTAACCGATTTTGAAGAAATTCTATCTGTTTACGTTGCTCTCGTTTATGACCACGCAGCTTTTTAATCTCTTCATTCAATTTGTCAACTTGCTGCATATCTTGAATAGTCGATTCACGTAATTCTGATTCTAAAGATTGTATTTTCTTTAAATTCTCAGTTTCTCGTGTTTTTAGGTCATTAATTTCTTGCTTAATTGCAGCTACATATGATTTATCTTCTGCAATTTTTAATTTCTGTTCGAGTGTTTCGATTACGTTGCTTTGTTTTTCTTGAGCCTTCCTAACTATTGCTAATTCAGTCCTTACTTTTACAATCTCTTCATCAACGCTATCTCCTTTTTCAGCAATTTTTCTTTCAAGTTCATTTATTCTCTCTTGCTGGGCACACTCTACACTGCGTAAATTTTCCAATTCTTCATGAAGGTGAGTATCTTCAGTTTCGGTGGATATACTTGATTTGAGAACTCGAAGTCGTTCCAATGCTGCTGCTTCTCTCTCACGAACATGTATAATTTCCTTTTTTAAAACTCGCAATTCAATCTCAATATCTTTATTTATATCACCTCCGGTTTCTAACTTCTGAAGCCACATGCCGAGTTCATTTTTTTCATTTTGAAAATAAATTATTTTATTTTGATTGTCCATAAGTTTTGTTCTAAATGATAACGCTTCTGCTTCCTTTTCTCTCAATCTTTGTTGAAGGGATGATTTGTCTTCTAAGTCTTCTTTTAAATGATCAATTAGTTCATTTTTTTGTTGAATGTTTGTTTTGAGAAATTCTAATTGTTCTTGAAGGGCAACAACAATTTCTTGTTCCTCTTGCAAGGATTCTGTTACTTCTAATTTAGTTGCAAGTTCTTTTTGCAAGCTTAAAAGTTTCTCTCCAACACTATTAATAGCTTTATGTGTTGGTGTATCCAAAAGCAACATCAAGGAATTTCGTCGTGGAGTTGGAATATGATGAGATTCTTTTGCCTTGGCTATTTGAGCTTCAAGGTTATTCATTTTTTCTTCCAATGTTTTGAGTTGTTTTTCAAGTGTATCAGGTTCTTCATAAATTGAATTTAATTTATTCTTTTTCTCCACAATTGCTTGATAAGATTCTCTAGCTTCCTGCAGTTCATCTTCAAGCTTCCGAATTACGTTTTGCTGTTCGATGGATGGAAACAAAAGTGCTGCTATTGTATGACTCTTTGATTCAATTTCAATATCAAGTTTGTTAATTTGCATTCTCATTTCTAACATTTCATCATTAAGCTCTGGTTGTAAATGCGTATCAGCATCCAAACATGAAATAGCATCAATGACTCTGGCCTTTCTCTTATCTTCGAATGCTTTTATCAAAAGTTCTTCAAGCTCTCTTAACCTAGAGAACGTTGCATTAAGAGATTCATCATCCGGATTAACTGTCATCTTTTTGGAATGTTCAGAAATAACATTACTCATTTCGGTTTTTATTTCGCTGATTTTCATTTCAACATCCAAAACTTTATCACTTTTATAACCTCCTTGATTTGTATCCAAATTGTCCAAAATTTTCTTCTGATCTTCTTTAAGCTGTTCAACTTCTTCTCTCAATCTATTTATTATTTCCTGTTTGTCAATCTCACTAGTAACGGTAGAAAAATCTCCAGAATCAATATAAACGTGATCCGAATTCATAACAGACATAACTTCATTTTGTGCCATCGCATCTCTTCTTTTTATTTCTTCCCTTAATTCTTCAACAATCTCAAGTGTATTAAGATGATTAATCTCAAGTCGAGCAAATTCTTGTTTTACAGCATCGAGACCTCGTGCCTTATCAGCATGAAACATCTCTAACTGTCGAAGTTCAGTTTGTAACTTTTGTATTAATGCATTATTTGATAACTCATCTATTGTTTCATTAGATACTGATAATGATTTTCTATGAGAAGAGCGATTTCTTGTTTGTTTATTAAGTTCATTTAATTTATCAAGGCTATATTGATATTTTTGTTTAATCTCTAAAAATTCGGACATTGTACTTTCTTGTATTTGTTGTAATTCATATATTTGTAATTCAAGTTGAGAGACAGTATAATAATCCCCAAGTGGTGTAGAAGTTATTGGTGTTTCAAGATCAGTGAGAGAAGAAAATGTCGACGTGGATTGTCGTCGTTTCAGAGAATGTCTATCAGCTTCTGTTTTAAGCCTTTTCATCTGCTCAAGCTCTTCTACAAGCTCTTCAGCTTTTTTCTCAAGTTGTGAAATTCTCTCATCTCGATCTTGAATTTCTTCCAAAAAGAGATTATGATCATCTTCTTCGTTAGCTCTATCTTTTTTATATCGCGTTTCAAGTTTAAGATAAGCATCACATGCGTCATGTAAAGCTTTTTCCAATTTTTGAGCATTCTTATTGATTTTTTGATAATTTAATTCACTTTCTTTTAATTTTAACTCGAGGTTTTTTACTATCTTTTCGGTGTCGTCTCCCGCTGACTGAACATGAGCTAATCTTTCTCTAAGTTCATCAATTATATCTTGATCCTTCTTTTGCTCGCTTTCACGTGCATTCAGTTTAGCTTCTAGATCTTTAATATATTCCTCAGTGGTTTTTTTCCTTTCCTCATGATTTGAAATATTATTTTTTAGATCGTTTATTAATCTTACGTCTTGATTATTAAGGTCTTCTGCATCCAACACTTTTATCTCTTGTTCGCGAACAAGCATTTCAGCATTGCGCACTGCCTCTCGTACGGCGACGATTTCCTTTTCGAATTCAATAATAGAGTTTTCATATTGTGAAGTCATTGATTTTAAACCCTCTTGATTTGGTATTATATTTTGACCGTTGGTAAATAAAGATTTTTCTGTACCATCACTATTTTTGTACATGTTAAGAGATGCGGAAGCCTGTTCATACTTTTTAGACATATCCTTATATAAATTTTGAAGTTCTATTAACTGTTCTTCAAGTACTTGAATGTCCTTATTTTCTTCTGAGGTCGAATCAGTAGTTAAATTCGAAATTGTTTCGGAACCAAAATAATTTTGATGTAAATCTGCAGCATCTGATTGAAACGATGGTGAATTTGGTGAAATTGGTGAAATTGGTGAATTAAGACCATCAGAATTTTTCAAAGTTTTAATTTCAGCACGAAGTTTTAGAACTAAAGTTTGTAAATATTCAATATCTTGCCATCCTGTTTCTTCCTGATTAACGACGGCAGTGTTTTTTATGTTACGAGCTCTATTTGCATATTTAAGTGTGCTGATTGTCTCATTAATATTGTATTCTGCCGGAGAAACACATGCAATCATTAATGTTTTTGCATTTCCACCAAGAGAATCTTGCAATAATCGAGTGAGCTTTGAATCTCGGTACGGAATATGCATAGTGTTTTTTGCTTTTGCTGGGTCACCCAAAGCAGATATAACATTACCTAACGCAAGAAGGCCAGAGTTGATAGATATACCTTCTTTCACACGATCCCCTGTTGCCGAGGTTCGTTTAAGCTAGCAAAACATTCAATGAAATACATTTATTTTTAAGCCAAATATGATGAAAAATAATGCACGTAACGACTTACCCTTTCACTACCAGCTAAGTCGACGAAATGAAATTTACTGGTCACCGTAATCCAATCTCCTTCTTCTTCATTCTTTTTTGTTCTAAAGTCAGTAACAAATTTTTGTTGCGATAGCGCAACCGAAAAAATAGCATGTGATCGAGATGATTGAGAATTCATTTCGGTCGCACCTACTTGTCGGTTCATCGAACCACGCATTAAATGTCTAACATATTTATTTATTTATATTTTCGATTAATTCATGGTAATAAAATAGAAAATAAAAACCAGAAAAATTTCTACATACCTCATGACTTCTTCTATACTGTTTACTTTAATTTCTTGTAGTCCACTCCAGATCATATTACCTTTCGAATCCTCTCGTATCGTCACCGGTGGTCTGCTCTCATAATCCCCTTCGGCAAGAAGATCTATCAAATCTTCATTATATATTTCCACAAATGAAACTTTTATGACAAATTTGCGGCTCTTAAATTGCGTCGAATTGACGTAAGAGAATAAAGTAGCCATGGATCTTGGTATTATACCCTTTGTTTCTGGTAATTGGGAATATTCATTTAATGTACCCATTGTATATGTCTTACCCGATGAAGTTTGACCATATGCTAGAATGGTCACATTAAAACCTATTCAAAAAAAAATAATAAATTTTTTAGAACAAACCTTTCTTGAGGATAATTATCATATGATTACACGTGATTATAAACGCACCTTCTAAAAATTTATCTACCATGTTTTTGACAGTTTGTTCATAAATGTCTTTTTGTGATGATTCAGGGCCAAAAACTTTGTCGAATGTCCAAGTTTGCTTCTTTTCTCCATGTACTATAACTTGATTTGAAGCAAATTCTGTTGTGGAAAGAACATTTCTTTGAAACCGAGATGGGAGGTTGACCAGATCATCGGCTGTGAGAGGCTTTATTCGAAGGGCTAAAATAAAATAATTATATAATTTTTTATTTTTTTTTTTTTTGAGTTTTATAGTTGTTGAGATTGTACTATTTATGAAAAGTGCTACAATAGAGCAATAAGAACAAAAAATATTGCAAATTCTATTCAAATTCTACTTCAAACTCTTATCGATTATTATTACATACCAACTTGTACTGTTGAATTTTCCTTTTCTTTAATTGCGTGAACCATTTTTGCGAGAGAATAAATATATGAAGAGATGTAAAAAAATTATGTTTTTTTTTATAAATTTACTGAATCTGGCGTCCAGTTTTTTTTTTAAATATGAATTGAAAGTTTTCCAGGGAGCCAGCCCTCGCAAAGTTTATCAGATCACAGTTCAATATATAAAAAAAAAGTGTATATATACAATATAATGTGTTTATAACCCTCCACTTTTATTTAATTGTTTGAAATAATAATTATGAAGAGATGAAAGAAGGGATGAATTTGTCTGTAACTTCGTTTTGTTTTTATTATTTTAATGATGAATGGTTCTTTTTAAAGTATGTTTCGTTTTATTGGTAACACAGCAAAAGTCGTCGATCGAAAATGAATGCCGATAGTTGATGAAAGGATTATTACAAGTTAATAAAATAAAGAATGAAAAAACAATGATTGTTATTCTATATATATATGTATTAAAAAAAAAAAGAGAAAACCCTTTTTTTTTTTAAAGAATTAAGAAAAACTTTCGTTAGTTTTTGCCACTAGGAAGAACCCGGAATTATCTGGTTACCTATACGTAGAAACGCAAATTATAACTGCTAAAGCATAAATAGTATTGGTATGCATATTAGTGGATTTATTTTGCAGCTAAATAATTAAAAGTAGTCGCACATACCTTGAGCCTTAATAATAAAATCATTAATTCTAAAATATCCAACCTGTCGGGTATATTTAAGAATGCATATGTATGTATGCATAAAAGTTCAAAATACATACCAATCATTTGACTAGAATTCTTTCGAAGTACATAATAATAATCCTCGACTATTATTTACCATTTATTTATGTTATTAATATGAAAAACAATCAAATATATTGGTCAATCGAAAGATATTGGTTAATACCAATCAGCACGTTATAACTCATTAAGGATTTCTTTAAACCTATTTTGGTTTAGAATTGTACTACCCTATATTGTACATGATTGCCGGTTACTGTGTACTGTACGTACGTACGTACTGTACTAGCATCGTACGTACGTAGTGAACATTTGAAGGTTATAAATAAATTCTGGTAGGCTATTAAAATTGTCAAAGTTATCAAATAAAACAATCTTATAACTGACACTTATGCATCTACATTGAAAGCTTTATAACCGTTTTTATCTAAAATAATGCTGCTCACGTTCCTTTTTGGTAAAGATTTGTCCGATATATAATTTTGGTCCTTAATCGAGTGTAAAGTCATATTAGTTTCTCAATGTAGCAAAAAATTTGGGAAGTAGTTCTATGTTACGTATTAATCAAATGATAAAATTATATTAATCGCACCAAAATCCTTCTAAAAACCAATATCGCAGGTTTACATTAATTCCACAGTATTTGCGTGGATATCCAAAAATTCTGATTAGAACTGGATGACACCATAGTGTGTGAAATATCATCACGTAGTTCAGGTCATAACAATATTATAAGATTTTCCGGCACGTAGGAATTTGCAACACACGGTAACCTTTAAATTGTAGTATTTAAATTATTTGTATGTGATACGTAATTAGATTTGCACTTTACGTATCGGTATATTATTTTGGCATATAGATCGTCTTATTAATGATGATACACTAATAATTAATGTTGTTTATACGTATACGTACGTACGTATAAAAATTTATCAATACGTATAACAATCCCTAAGCTATTTATTAATATCTTTATTCTTTATAAATAGTTTGTTATATAATAAAATTTTTTAAATTTAATTTTTTTTAAAAAAGTTTTTAACTATTTTTGTATCCAGATATTATATAACTTTATAAATTTGACTAAACAAATATATTTTTATACATTATATATATCTTTATAATAAATATATACTGTATTATATTTACTAATTTATAAGTTACTTAATATTTTTTTAAAACTCTAAATTTGATTATATAGTATATAATATATTAATATATAGTGTATTTTTATTAAAAGATTAAATTAACTATTAAATTTGGATTTATAATTATCGCGGTTTTCGAAATAGTAAAAATCCGGGCAAAAAAATGTTTTTTAGTGTATACCCGTATACTGTGTATATACTCGTATACCCGGCTGCACCTGTAACAATTAGACGTGTAATTGTTTTTTGGTAAACAATAAGTACGTACGTATGTAAATATCAGCGTGCTAAGGTAATCCGGTATACGAGTCAAAAAAATTTTTTTGCCCTGATTTCTGCTATTTCGAAAACCGCGATAAAATAAAAATATGTAATATATAAAAGTTAGGCCTAGTAATTTGGTTAATTAAACTTTTAACTCTATAACTAAAGTTGTTAAGACTTTGTTATAGTAAAAAAAATAACTAATTACATAGTATGATAAATATTTTTATAAAAATCTAAATTTACTACAAATAATACAGTATCAACTTTAGTAATTTTTTATTATTTTTTTTAAACTAATATAATAGCTAATATCTAATTTTTTTTAAAAAAATAAAGCAATTTGTATATTTTAATATAATAAAGCTATTTTTTAATTTATTTTTTGAATATTACTAACTATAACCAGTGGTGATTATCACCAGGGTGCTTATATCTCAAAAATGTACTAAGTAAACAGGATCGGGTACTCTAAGTAAAAATGTTCAGGACCCCAAAAACCTTATGAAAACTGAAATCAGGACCTTATATTAGCTCTATATTATACAGTTGATACTGTCTAAATGCATACTGCCTAATTGCATATATTGTCTAACTGCATAAAAAATTAGTCCACGGATCTTGTTCTTATTGATAAATACATAATTTTATAATTGCATAATGCATTAAAAAAAAAAGGCAATATGCATTTAAAGAATTATTGTCTAACTGCATAAAAATTAGTTCATAGCTCTTGTTTCTATTAATAAATACATAACCTCTTTAATTGAATAATAAATATATAAAAAATGGTAATATGTGGCTAAAGAATTATAACAACCAAAATGTCTAATTTTAAATAATTATTGTATTGCTTGTTTGTCTTGTTTCACAAACATATGTAAAAAAAAAAAAAGTAGTATATTCAATACAGTATTAAATTGGCTAAATTGCTACAATTCGTGAGAAAAAATACACTTACCAATTGCTAATTATAGAGTGCTAATTGTATATAAGTTAGACTGCATACAACCTGATTTAGGCTTAATGTGATCTAGTTAATTTTTAAAAATTCATTTGACAGAATTTTTTTTTTTTTTTTTTTTTTGGTGTTAAGGTGAGGCCTTGCTCATATCTTTATTAGGTAATTTATATAAGTAATT